TCATACTTGTCTCCCAGCCGTGTGAGGAATTCTTTAGGTTTCACATCAGTTCTCACTTGATCACTCACCTCACTCATATAATCAGACTCATACTTGTCTCCCAGCTGTGTGAGGAATTCTTTAGGTTTCACATCAGTTCTCAGCTGACCACTAACCTCACTCATATAAATAGAATCATATTCTTCTCCCAAATTGAAGAGATCTCTTGTTTTCATCCCCTGTGTACTTTTCATTTTGTCAATGTGCTTCTTGCTATATATATAAAAAAATTTTATTAAAGCATATTTATCATGCACATTATCAACATCATCACACCACTTCCATCATTTAATCACCATGTTTAATACTATACTCACCACCACTATCATCACCATCATCATCTTCAACATTACTATCATCATCATTATCACCATCATCAACATCGCCATTATTATCATCCTCATCATTACTATTATCTCCACCATCAACACATCATCATCATCACAGTTATCACCATCATCATTATATCATCTCACCATCATCATCATAATCATCTCACCATCATCATCATCTGACCATGCATCATCATCATCATCATCATCTGACCAACATCATAATCATCTGACCATGCATTATCATCATCATCATCGTCCATCATCATCATTATCATCATAAATAATTATATGAATAAATATGTAGTCAAGTATTAATCAGAAAACTTATCCTTAAGTCAAAAGATATTCAAGCATTACCTGTGAAAAGTTGATAATTCATCTTCAGTAGCAAATCTTGACTTTCAAAAAAAAAAAATTTTTGTATCAATATTTATAAATATTTTCATCCAAAAGTTTATGAATAGTAACTCGATGTTAATAATGTGTAGGCATGAATGTATGCTTACAGGTATTCGATAGCACCTTTCAAGTAAGCCATACTCAATATGCTTGTTGTAAGGTCTTCCTAATCTGTCTGGGACTTCCATATGATCTCTGAAATCGTACAACATATGACATTGAAATTCTCAATGCCTTCAAATACTCCAGCTTCGATTTAATAATAATAATAAATATGCTCTCATATAGGGCATTATAGACTCTCAATGCGCTTTACAAATACCACGACGAAGTGTCAAGTGAAAGAAAAATAGATTAAAGTTACAAATTGAACAAAAATGTTTTTAGTTTTCTCTTGAATATTTCCAAAGACTGCGATGTTTTTATATCTGATGGTAAACGGTTCCATAGTCTGGGCACTGCTACGGCAAAGCTACGCGCACCATATGACTTAGTACGATATGGAGGTTGTTTTAAAATTACTCCTTGTGTGGCACTTCTTAGCTTACGAGTAGGTTGGTGTATTTTGAGAATATCACTTATATAGGATGGAGCGATACCGTTTATAGCTTTGTATGTGACCGTTAAAAGCTTGAATTCAATTGAGTTCTCTTTTGCTCTCTGTCAGCCTCAATTGTGCATATTCAGCACTTACAGTAGAGCAAAACCCGTGGAATTCTGAATCATTTGTATTGTTTATTGGTAGACATTTCTCACATCATCACCACAGACTGTACCAACACTAAAGGATATATTACGTGCTAACACAGAGGAAAAGAGTACTCAAAACTGAGGTATTAGAATGGATCTTTTATAATGTAAACACTATTAGCACCATCTTCATTCCCACAAGTAGAAAAACTTTTCTGCCCATTTAACTCCTGGAGTACTTTCAAAAATGCAAGGATTATTAATGCAGGGGGGAAATCTACCGTTCCAACAAACATGGCTGCGCCACAGAGGAGGATCTACTAGTATCCCAAGTTCCTTTGCACCCTTATTATTGTTTTCTTTGGCTTTCACTGGTTGATATGAATCTTTTTGTAAAAATACTTCTAACACTAATATCACTAATAGTAACTAAGGTGTTAGTATTTGATGAAGACATGTTCAACTAATTTGACAAATAAAAGCAGCCAGTTGTAGGATCTGTACTGAACCTGAAAGTACTCAAAAAGTATTCCAGTATTTTGACAAGTACCTTTAAATTTCTTGAAGAATTTATAAATAGACATTGCTAAAGGCATGACTCTACTCTCTACACTCTACTTAAGTACAATTTTATCTGTTTAAATAAAAATATATTATATCTCATTTTATCTGTTTAAATAACAATATATTATATCTCATATTTCTCACTCACAATGCATTCTGGGATACTAGTGGATCCTCCTCTAGCTGCTACACAAGTTTTTTTTTTGTGGTGCAATATTTGCATTCCACTGGGAAAACTGCTGAAAAGGAGATTGTTTGATTGCTATTTATCTGAGTTGTGCAGTTTTTTCCATACTAATCGCATTATGCCCCAATAGAGTGCATATAATTCTTCTTCGTACATGTGGTCAATCTCTTACTTAGTAATTACAGACAGACAGACAGACAGACAGAGGAAACTTACTTGTCCCAGATATTAGCATGTTTCTTCATCCTCTCATCATAAACAAGTCCTGCTCTGATGGAATACAACAAAGTGAACACAATAGAAAGTATATAATATATCTTTCTTTATAGTGGTTGTTTGCAAAAATATTCTAACCTTTTCTTGACTTGAGCAGGTTTTTCGTCACCAGTTTGACTAATATCCTGCAAAAAATACATTGATTAATAAAAAAGTATCTATTAATGAAAATTAAACTTTATATTTACTAAGTTGTTCAAAATTAGTAATTTTAAGGTTGAGGCGAAAAAATGGGTCAAGTTAGCAGCTTGTTATTACTTGGACTGGATAGATTAAATCTGTTAATTTCAGTGTATACCTTATCAGTACCAAGCATGTACAGAACGCACATATAAATAGTCTTCATGGTTGATACTTACAAGTTTTTCGAGCTTCGCTTCAAGTCCACTGCTGTCACAAGTACCACTCATTGTGAAACTAGTACTTTTGAAAACAGAAAGCAAAAAAAAAGGCATATATATAAGGGCACACTGCTATTTCACAGACTGAATTGGACTTTAGTGCATAAATAGCATTTTTGGTGGGGCAAGATGGGAATCCCGAAAAAAACATGATACATAATAGGGGATTTCAGGTAACGTTCTTAAAATATATAAATCAACCCTTACTGGACAAAAGTAAGCTTATATACCAGTAATAAACCTTTCCAGAATTCCCTTGGATGACCTGATATGAGACAATGGTTTGAAGTTGAGACTGAACTTGATTCTTTTATTTTTCAAGTTCAACATTGAGTTGAAACCATTGTTTCATGATCAGTCTAGCGAATTCGGGAAAGGTCTATATATGGACCAACCTTTTGATAAACAGAAAGCAAAAAAGGCATATGTTTTCTTGTGCTCTACGTCAGGGGACAGCTATTTCACAGATTGAATTTAAAAGATTGGGGGATCCAGAAAAAACTTGATAGGTTATAGGGAATTTCAGGTAATTGTTTATGAAATATGTAAATCAACTGGACAAAAGTATATACCAGTAATTTATGGGCCAATTCGTACATTTCCAACAGACAACACAGGATACAAATCACTTCAAAATAAAGTATTTCTGGTCATTGTACATTTTTAAATAATCTTATTCCAGCAAGAATGTCAGCTTACAACACGCAGGCAATGCGGGCCATGGAAGTCTTTAGTTTTTGGCTCGATAAACGTGAGAAAATATCTTAAACCAATTCTAAATTAATGGACCAATGCCTTGGGTAATGAAGCTTTAACACTGATATTTAGATAACACAGTATTAGATTCACCTAAGAAGGTTTATTAATATTAACCGAAGGATTTTTTTAAATGTTCTTTTTTGAATGTTATCTTTAGATTGGTTGACTAAATGCTTGGCTGGTTGAATCAATACAAGAAGACGTTGAACGATATTTAATTTAAAACTTGTAGAAAGAATAATGAATAAATATCATGTCTAGCAAAGCTTACCTGTTTTGAAGCTGTTTTGAGAGTTAAAAAATCAAATATGTAGCGAGTTAGTAAATCTGGACAGAAAAAGACGAACCCGTCTCAATCCATGAGACCTGCCACCACAGGATACCCACAACACCAATAGATATCACGTGACTGTTCGTTTGGGTCAAAGGTTATGCTTTTTCAAGTCTTTTTTGTTTTTGTTTTTTGTCGTTGTCTTTATTTTATTTACTCTTTTTACCGGCTTTTGCCCCTTTCTTTGGTTGTTKCCCCCTGTTAAGTTGTTGTTTTGCTTAAAAAAGAAGAGGGGAGAAAAGGCCATGCAAGAAAATTGGAAACAAATTAGACAGATAAATATAATACAGTAAAGACATTTTGAGAAAAAAATTTTAATGGATTTTCAAGATCGACAGCTACGTTACAAAATCTCTCTTTTTTCTTGATRCCGGCAATTAAAGTGAGGCCGGGCAACTCCGCGAAACCCCACCCCTCAACTCCGCGAGTAGGGGTGTTCGGCGGTCGATTTTGAAAAAGACCCCTAAAAGGTACGCATAATTTAAAATCGTGTTGATTTCAACCCCTAATCATATCCTTTTTGTAATCACTACCAAATCCTGCAATCTGATTGGTTCAAAGGATTGTGATTGATTTCCAAATCGCATCCTTAGGAGCGACTTTCTTTTTGAAAGAACCAATCACAGAACAGAATTCTTATATTCAGCCAATCAGAGAAGAGAATGATTAGCATTATTTATGAATATTTAATGATTTGCTGATAAATCGTTTATTTTATACCAGGAAAAACCTGATTGATTTACTTCT